GGTTTGCTTGCTCCAGGTCTGAGTTCAAGCCCTGGATATCCTTGTTGATTTTCTGTCTGGTTGATCTGTCTAATATTGACAGTGGAGTGTTAAAGTCTCCCACTATTATTGTGTGGGAGTCTAAGTCTCTTTGTAAGTCATTAAGAACTTGCCTTATGTATCTGGGTGCTCCTGCATTGGGTCCATATATGTTTAGGATCATTAGCTCTTCTTGTTGTATCGATCCTTTTACCATTATGTAATGGCCTTCTTTGTCTCTTTTGATCTTTGTTGCTTTAAAGTCTATTTTATCAGAGATGAGAATTGCAACTCCTGCTTTTTTTTGCTCTCCATTTGCTTGGTAAATCTTCCTCCATCCCTTTATTTTGAGCCTTTGTGTATCCTTGCATGTGAGATGGGTTTCCTGGATACAGCACATTGATGGGTTTTGGATTTTTATCCAATTTGCCAGTCTGTATCTTTTGATTGGTGCATTTAGTCCATTTACATTTAGGGTTAATATTGTTATGTGTGAATTTGATACTGCCATTTTGATGCTAAGTGGCTGTTTTGCCTGTTAGTTGTTGTAGATTCTTCATTATGTTGATGCTCTTTAACTTTTAGTGTGATTTTGGATGGCTGGTACTGGTTGTTCCTTTCTATGTGTAGTGCCTCTTTTAGGAGCTCTTGTAAAGCAGGCCTGGTGGTGACAAAATCTCTGAGTACTTGCTTGTTCGCAAAGGATTTTATTTTTCCTTCACTTCTGAAGCTCAGTTTGGCTGGATATGAAATTCTGGGTTGAAAGTTCTTTTCTTTAAGAATGTTGAATATTGGCCCCCACTGTCTTCTGGCATGTAGTGTTTCTGCCAAGAGATCTGCTGTGAGTCTGATGGGCTTCCCTTTGTGGGTAACTCGACCTTTCTCTCTGGCTGCCCTTAGTATTTTCTCCTTTATTTCAACCTTGTTGAATCTGATGATTATATGCCTTGGGGTTGCTCTTCTTGCAGAATATCTTTGTGGTGTTCTCTGTATTTCCTGCAATTGAGTGTTGGCCTGTCTTGCTCGGTGGGGGAAGTTTTCCTGGATGATGTCCTGAAGAGTATTTTCCAGCTTGGATTCATTCTCTTCGTCCCCTTCTGGTACACCTATGAAACGTAGGTTAGGCCTTTTCACATAGTGCCACATTTCTTGGAGACTTTGTTCATTCCTTTCTGCGCTTTTTTCTCTGATCTTGGTTTCTCGTTTAATTTCATTGAGTTGGTCTTCAACTTCAGATATTCTTTCTTCTGCTTGGTCAATTCGGCTGTTGAAACTTGTGCATGCTTCGCGAAGTTCTCGTATTGTTTTTCAGCTCCTTTAATTCATTCATATTCCTCTCTAAGTTATCCATTCTTGTTATCATTTCCTCATGTCTTTTTTTAAGTTCCTTTGTTTCTTTGCATTGATTTAATACGTGTTCTTTTAGCTCACAAAAGTTTCTCATTATCCACCTTCTGAAGTCTATTTCCGTCATTTCGTCACAGTCATTCTCCGTCCAGCTTTGCTCCCTTGCTGGTGAGGCGTTTTGGTCCTTTCTAGGAGGCGAGGTGTTCTGGTTTCGGGTGTTTTCCTCCTTTTTGCGCTGGTTTCTTCCCATCTTTGTGGGTTTATCCGCTTGTCGTCTGCGTAGTTGCTGACTTTTCAATTGGGTCTCTGAGTGGACACCCAGATTGTTGATGATGAAGTATTTCTGTTACTTGGTTTTCCTTCTACCAGCCTAGCCCCTTCGCTGTACGACTGCTGAGATCCACTCCAGGCCCTGCTTGTCTGGGGTGTACCTCTAGCAGCTGTGGCACAGTGAGGGATGCTACCAGTTTCTTTTTCTGCTATCTTTGTCCCAGGATGATGCCTGCCTAATGTCAGTCTTTTGGATATAGAGGGGTCAGGGAGCTGCTTGAGGAGACAGTCTGTACTTTTTTGGAGCTCAATTGCTGAGCTGTGAGCTCTGTTGTTCATTCAGGGCTGTTAGGCTGCTGTGTTTGATTCTGCTGCAACAGAGCTCATTAAAAAAAACCCTTTTTTTCTGAAATGCTCTGTGTTGGGGGGTTCGGGCTTTATTTTTCGATGTCCGTTGAGGTGTCCTGCCCAGCTAGAAGGCAGACTAGCCACTGTTTGCCTGCCGAGTCTCCGCCCTGCTGTTGTGTGATTCACCCTGTTCCTGCAGGCTCTGCTGTGGTCTCTGCCACGACCTGCAGCGGAGTCTCTTCATTGTAGCGTGTTGCCGGAGTCTCTTCATTGTAGCGTGTTGCCTCGGCAATGGCAAGCTGCGTCAGCAGTGGGCGTGTATCACAGTAGGGACGGGTTGCCTCGGCAACAGAAGGCTGCGTCAGCAGTGGGCGTGTATCTCAGTAGGGACGGGTTGCCTCGGCAACGGCTGGCTGCGTCAGCAGTGGGCGTGTATCTCAGTTGGAGCGGGTTGCCTCGGTAGTGGTGGACGCCCCTCCCCAACAGAGTGTCCCGGACCGTCTGCTTGGGATAGTTTGAAATCGCGGTTTTGTTCGTCCCACTGGGTATCCCAAACGCTCTGTCCCTGCAATCCCCTGGGCTGGCCTACTGTCCAAGTCTCGTTCAGTCTTAAGTCTTGCCCTCTCAAGTCTCAGGTTGCCGGTTCAACAGGGCACCCGGACAAGCCCGCCCTATGGGGATTGCTGGGTAGGGCCGGCCGCCGCCAACCCGGCTGCCGACTTCGCCAGGCAGACCTACTGCCTGGCGTCCCGTGTCTTTTTTATACTTGGGAGTTTCCCGTTCTGTGGGCAACAAAGATCAGTCTGGAAATGCAGCTCTGACTCACCTCTTTGCAGATTCAACGAGAGCTCCAATCCTGGGTTGTTCTCACAGCGCCATCTTGAGTCCTCCCCCTTTTTTGTAATTTTTAGTAGAGACGGGGTTTCACCATGTTGACCAGGATGGTCTCGATCTGTTGACCTCATGATCCACCTGCCTCGGCCTCCCAAAGTGCTGGGATTACAGGCTTGAGCCACCCCGCCCGGCCCGAGTCTCATTCTTACCCAGGCTGGAGTGCAGTGGCACGATCTCAGCCTACTATAACCTCTGCCTCCTGGGTTCAAGTGATTCTTCCACCACTGCCTCCCAAGTAGCTGGGGTTACAGTTGTGCACCACCACACCCTGCTAAGTTTTGTGTTTTCAGCAGAGACTGCATTTCACTGGGTTGGCCAGGCTGTTCTTGAATCCCTGACCTCGTGATTTGTCCCTCTCAGTCTCCCAAAGTGCTGGGATTACAGGTGTGAGCCACCATGCCTGGCCTGACCTATCTGATTCTGCATTTATGCTCTTGGTATACCTTTGAAGCTTGGGTCATGCTATCTTAGATAACTTTCCCTAAACGTGTAGAGAATGATGATCATAAAACATATTTTATATTTTTAATATGATTATTTAACAATGTTTACAGCAAACATGTTTTAAAATTGAGTTGCATGGAATTGAGCAGAGTAGTTGCACCATGATTTTTCATCTGTTGTCTGTGGTGGTTCTTATTTTGTGTACTTGTACCCCCTTATTTTCTTGAGTAGATTTAGCCTGTTTACTCAAAAGAAGAAACAGATCATTTTCTAAGAAAGTGCAGTTTACCAAAACTGACTCTAGAAAATAGACCTATCCGAAAAAGTCACCCTTCATAGCATAATGTCTCATAGTAAACCCTATAAAGTTACTAACTATAAATAATTTCACAGAAGAATTCTACCAAACTTTTAAAGAATATACTGTACGATGCTATTTGAACCTTTGCAGAAGATAAAGTTGCTATATTGTCATAACATTGATCACAAAGCCTTACAAACATAGCACTCATGTAAAATTTAGGCTCATACTGCTTGAGACTATTGATGCAAAACTCCTAAATAAGTATTTTATTGCTGTCAGCCTCAAAGCCAATGCCATGCGTAATCAGAAAAATGGTAGAAACATTACCCTAAAAGTCCAGAGTAAGATAACATCCACTGTCACCACTGTTTCATCCCAACGTGTGACACTAACCCAAAGGTGATTGATAAATCATGTAGAAGGGTTTTTTTAGTGCTACATGATCAAAATTAGGATTAAAAGTCATAAAACCAGTGATCAAATATTTGTAACTCATACCATAAAAAGACTTATATCCCTATTGTATATAAAGAGCTTTCAAACAATCAGTAAGAAAATGATCAACATCGCAAAAAGAAAAGAACAGACTTAAAAAAAAAAAAAAACAGACTATACAGAAAGGAAACACAATATAAACGTGTAAAGCCACTCAAAAAACTACTGTGACCATTCTTCATCTATAAGCAGTAACACCACAGGCATCACTTTACTGTGTTGTGACTGGTCATGTAAACTGGTATGAATTATAATTTTACCCAAATTTATCAAAATTGCACATGGCACAAACCTTTCAACCTGGCAGTTTCTTTTTTGGGATTGTATCCTTCAGATGTGATTGGGAACATGCAAAATGGTCAAGAATAGTTATTGCAATCTTATGGCACTGGTTCTTATAGCAAAAGATAAATAACCTGAGTATTCATCAGTATGGGATCCCAATGTTATGTGACTAATTACATAGATAGACAAATAAGGAAACACATCGTGAACAATTTGATAGAATAATGTGGAGATTCAAAAACTATTACCACTTGTGTGTGAAAAGAAAAGACACAGAACAAAAATATATTTGCTTATGTGGTTCATAGAATATTTTGGAAAGATACCCAAGGAACTATCAACATTAGATACCTTTGGGAAGATGAACTGGTAGGCTAGAAGCCAAAACTGTACCCTTTGTGCCTTTTATGCAGGAACCCCCTTTCTCCTCCACCCAAATTAAATTTAAGCACTTACATATTCTGAATTCTTAGTATTTAAATTATCTTTGTATTATTGTTGATAATTATAACCAGGTACAGCTAGTTTTGTGATTACTTGATCAGAAGTTCTGGAAATATTTTATTTATTTTTAAATTAAATCCTTTTGTTTTAGGCTCTCCAGCAGAACTATCTCCTACTACTCTTTCCCCTGTTAATCATAGCTTGGGTAAGTTGCAAATACGTTCTCCTTATCATATTTATACTATATCATCTGCTTAATAATAATAATCCTCTAGGAGTTTTTAAAATATATATATGAGAAAGGAATTCTAAGGAATAATCAAATAATTATGTATTTGGTTTACAATGATGCTTTTAAAAAAGAATACTAATATCATCCCTCAATATTATTTAAAGTTTTCTAGAACAGGAAATGGGTTTGATCTTCTTCTTATTGAAATAATATTCCTCATAGAAAATTATATCACCTATTATGGCTAGATTTTTATGCTTATGTTTTATGATGTAGCAATTAATAAAAGATGCATATATATACATTGACATAAATATATGTGTATGGGGATATAAATATGAGAGCATGTGTGTATATGTACAAATGTGTATGTGTACAGTCCATAACCATGAGTTCAGCATCTCCAGATTCAACCAACTGCAGATTGAAAATACTCAGTAGAAAATGAAAATAACAGTAAAAGCTAATATTTATTTATTTATTTATTTATTTATTTATTTATTTATTTATTTTTGAGACGGAGTTTTGCTCTTTTTACCCAGGCTGGAGAGCAATGGTGCAATCTCGGCTCACTGCAACCTCCGCCTTCTGGGTTCAGGCAATTCTCCTGCCTCAGCCTCCTGAGTAGCTGGGATTACAGGCACGCGCCACCATGCCCAGCTAATTTTTTGTATTTTTAGTAGAGACAGAGTTTCACTATGTTGACCAGGATGGTTTCGATCTCTTGACCACGTGATCCACCCGCCTCGGCCTCCCAAAGTGCTGGGATTACAGGCTTGAGCCACCGCGCCCGGCCAATACTTATTTTTTGAGACAGATCTTGCTTTGTCACCCAGGCTGGAATGCAGTGGCGTGATGTCAGCTCACTCCAACCTCTGCCTCCTGGGGCCTCAGCCTCCTGAGTAGCTGGGACTACAGGTGCATGCCACCACACCTGGCTAATTTTTGTATTTTTAGTAGAGATAGAGTTTCACCATGTTGGCCAGGCTGGTCTGAAACTCCTGGCCTCAAATGATCCACCCACCTTGGCCTCTTAAAGTGCTGGTGTGAGCCACCATGTCTGGCCCAAATTTTAAAATACAGTATAACAACTTACATAGCATTTACATTGTTAGATATTATAAATAATCTAGAAATGATTTAAAGTATAAGGATGATGATACGTTACATGCAAATACTATGCGATTTTATGTCAGGGACTTGAACATCTGAGGGTTTTTGGTTGGGTAGGGGGGCGGGGGGCAGTACTGGAACCATACCCTGTAAATACCAAAGAATGACTATATATACATTTCTGTATTACTATTACTGTTTTTGCCATCATCTTACCCTGCTGTTTCACAATTTCTCTTCGGTTGTTAATGTTTGGAATTTATTCTACAAAATTGTTAAGTTTTTTCTTTTGTAATATTTCTTAATATGTTTTAGGGAAAATTGAAGCAGCTAAATATATAGTTTTCCAGTGAAAAAAGTAGTCTCTTGACTCTGGTCTGTTTCCACTTGCATGATGCTTTCCAGTTCTTACGTATGAATGGGTTTTCTATTTTTGTAGCAAGGGTATCTCACCAAAAATTTGATGTTAAAATAGACAAATGTCAAAAATATGTCATACTTTGTATCCTTTTATCATGAATGTTTTTCTTTGTGTGGCTTTTGACTCATCTTTGCTCCAGCTTTATCTTACCTCACATTAGTTTTTTTATGTGCTTTAGAAATGTACCAAGTATGACAAGTTGACTTACTTTGCCTATGATTGTTTTGTGGTTGAACAGGAGCTAGACTAAAACTACTGGTAAAACAAATAATCCAACATAAAGTGATTGAATGACATGGGAGAAATTTGAAAAAATCTGGTACGATCTATGAGATTGGAGTTTTGAGTGAAAAATATTAAGAATCTAGTATGATCTATGGAAATTGATACAGATGTATGTCTATTTTCTGAGCTTTTGCCAATGCATGCTCACATAGAACATGTAAAGATGATTGTATTCAATCCATTTTCGGCTTAAGTTGTTCACACATTTTCTTTTTTTTTTTTTCTTTTTCAGATTTACAGCCAGTTACTTACTCAGAACCTGCATTTTGGTGTTCAATAGCATATTATGAATTAAATCAGAGGGTTGGAGAAACCTTCCATGCATCTCAGCCCTCGCTCACTGTAGATGGCTTTACAGACCCATCAAATTCAGAGAGGTTCTGCTTAGGTTTACTCTCTAATGTTAACCGAAATGCCACAGTAGAAATGACAAGAAGGCACATAGGTATGTTTCATTTTCCTTGTTATGAAAAACCAGTGCTGTATACTCATAATGTAGGCATTGCATGGTGTGCCACATGAAGAGCTTCTGTGCAGTAAAACCAGCGTTCTCTCTGGAGGTTTAAGAGCTAACACATTTAAGTGCACAGGCTTCACTGCTTCTAATAGATCCTGGCGATTCTTCAGCTGCAAACTCTACAACTTTTATTTGGCACCCTTGATACTGGAAAGTTCTTCGATAAATATGTGTTAAGATAAGTTTAATTTGCTGAGTCTCTACCAGTCATAAAATTGCAATGTTCAGATTTTGGGATTCAGACGTTTTAATAATTTTTTTTTCAGTTTCTTTATGTATCTCCTGGGTTTTTTCCCCCTTTGGTGAACTCATATATTAAATCAAATCTGCTTTGCTTGCTGTTCATCTGAAATGAGTTATCTAAAGCAAGAATTGTCATTTAATATAGTTGAAAATGTAATTCAGGGAGATCTCAAAATGTGATCTGGGGATTTCTGGTAGTCCCAGAAACCCTTTCAGCTAGTTTGTGAGTTCAAAGTTATTTTCGCCAAGACGGGTGGATCACCAGTGCTCAGGAGTTTGAGACCACCCAGGGCAACATGGTGAAACCCCATCTCTACTAAAAATTAAAAAAAAAATTTAACCAGGTTTGGTGTGTGTGCCTCTAGTCCCAGCTACTTGGGAGGCTGAGCCATGAGAATTGCTTGAGCCCCAGAGGTGAAGGTTGCAGTGAGCCGAGATTGTGCCACTGCATTCCAGCTGGGCTGCAGAGTGAGCCTCCATCTCAAAAAAAAAAAAAAAAAAAAAAAGCTATTTTCATAGTAGTACTGAGATGATGTTTGCCATTTTTACTCTCATTCTCTCATGAGTATACAGTGGAATATTCCAGAGCCTACATGCATATGATTTTGCAAGACATGAAATGTGGATTTGATAATGAGACTCCAACTTTGTTACACTAGACATTAAAGAGATTTACAAAAACGTGAAATGTTGCCACTCTTTTTTTGCTTTGGATACACAGTTTCATAAATGTTGTTTGTGTTAATATGTAATGGATTTATTGTGTAATTTTTAAGTGAATTTTTTAAAATCTCAGTTTTTATATCTAATATGGCCATTTTCCATAATATTTACATAAAAACTCTTTGGGGGTCCTCAGTATTTCCTTAACGATGAAGTGAAAAAGTGTGAGAGCCACTAATAATTGAACACCATTCTTATCACCTTAAAGTGACTTCTTTTAACAATAGTTTGCTTCTGTTTTTTTTTTTTTTTTTCTTCTTCTAATTAACCCTCACCTTCTGTGAGATGTAATGCTGGTTACCAAAAGGTGATTTTGATACTGCAAAATGATAGTGACTAGAAAATCTATTACTTGGTTCCATGTGGAAGTTCTCAAATCTTGCTTGATGTATAAATTTGGATGATCTTGTTAAGATACCAGGTGTCACTGTAGGTGCTTTTTTCAGAGTTTTTTTGTTCTTCTGTCTTAATTGAGGTTCTGCAAAAAAAATTTATTGGGTTTTCTCTGTTCACTTCTCTCTCCAAAGTTTTAGATTGCTGTAATTATTAGGTTATCTTTTTATTTTTTGATTCCTAGTTTTGCAGCTGATTTTTTTCAGGAAATATAGCCTGAAAAAGCTCTAGTTTTTGGACTTAATGTTTTCCCAATGACCACGTGCATGACTGTTCTACAAATATTCCATAGTCTTAACAGAACCAGGGCACCAGGTTCTGTAGTTATTAAATCTGGCATGTTGTTTTACAAGTTTTTTTTTTTCCCTGTGAAACAAATTAACCACAAACTCAGTGGCCTAAAATACCAATTTTTTATCTCATGGTTTCTGTGGATCAGAATTCCAGACATGGATTAAGTGGTCTTTTTAGGGTGAAAGGTGAAAATTGAGGTGTCAGCTGGCCTGTGTTCTTATCTGGAGCTTGAGGTCCTCTTAAGCCCACATGGTTGTGGCAGAGTTCAGCTCCTGGGTGCCACCTGAATTCCTTGCTATATGGTCCCATCCATCTTCAGAGTCAGCAGTGGAGCATGCCTTTGTGTTGAATCCCTCTCATGTTTTGAATCACTTTAGCCTAGGACAGTCTGGTCCTTTTTAAAGGATTGCCTGATTAAGTCAGGCCTACCTAAGATAATCTCCCTTTATTAAGGTTAACTGATTTGCTGCCTTAATTACATCTGAGAAATTTCTTAACAGCAGCACCTAGTGTCTGATATAATAGAGAATGTATGTGCACATCAAGGCTGAAACCCTTAGGTGCTGTTAGAACTCTGCCTCTCAATTGTTTTTTTAAAATCTTTGTATCTCATGTTATTTTGCATCTGTGATCTCTCAGATTCTGAAAGAAGTATATTAAAAATCTCCCAGTAGAATTTTTTCTCACTTAATTATACTTATACATCTAGAGGTTTGGTTTCTACCATAATATATAGTTTTTAAAATGGTGAATGACTCTTAACCTCTTGATAATTTTACATCATTTTTCTTAACCTTAGTGGGATCTTTAAAAAAATACACTTGTAATGAAGATATATTTCTCCAAACATTAGTGAATTCCTTCAAAATTAACTCAATCTTTTACTTTTAAAATAATATATATCATTTGTGTGAAACTATTTTACCATCTACTTTTTCTACATTGTTTAAATACTTTTGATATGCATGTATTACTTTTAAATTCAATAAAATTATTGTTAGAAAATACTTAGAGAAATATACAGTAGTATATTTAAAGTTAGATTTCAGAAAGACTTTACCTGTGAAAAAGATCCTGGAAATACCTTACATCATTTTAGAATTTTTCCAAGAAAATGCTTCCAAAGTTGCACTGAAATAGTAAATGTTACAAAACTAATCTCTTATGTATTTTGTTTCAGGAAGAGGAGTGCGCTTGTATTACATAGGTGGGGAAGTTTTTGCCGAGTGCCTAAGTGATAGTGCAATCTTTGTGCAGAGCCCCAATTGTAATCAGAGATATGGCTGGCACCCTGCAACCGTGTGTAAAATTCCACCAGGTATGGATTCAATAATGTAAGCAAACCTATTATGTCAACTTGCTTTTTCTGGTTGCTAATTTTAGGAATCGGGAGATGATTGCATGCTCATATTCTAAAACTTGTAACTCTTTTAAAATTATTTTTAATAATGATACTCTTTTTTGACAGTTGCTTGTACTTTTTTTGAATCATAGGCTGTAATCTGAAGATCTTCAACAACCAGGAATTTGCTGCTCTTCTGGCTCAGTCTGTTAATCAGGGTTTTGAAGCCGTCTATCAGCTAACTAGAATGTGCACCATAAGAATGAGTTTTGTGAAAGGGTGGGGAGCAGAATACCGGTATGAAATGCACATTTGTTTCTTAAATTTCCACAGTGTAATTGTGTTTCATTCTATTCTTGCTTATTCTGGCGTTCATTTGTATTTATTTTCATTGAGGTTATAGTGTTAGCTGATCTCTATGTAAAATAAAGTTGGAGGCCTCCAAATTCAAAACTATTGAAAATTACTGGGCTGACATTATGGAAGATATCATTAAAATATGTACAGGCATGCATTTTAACATAATGCAGAGTGTTAAATATCATAAAAGGGGTGTATATGAAGGGTTATGTCATTTTATAGAAGGAGAGATGTTTTCACATGGTGCTCAAGGGAAGCTTAATGGCACATAATCTAGTTGTAAAATATTTCAGTAGTCATAAATGGATGGGCAGAGTTGGGAAGCGATAATCTTGACAGTAGCATTAGCAATTCAGTATGGAGTATAGAAAAAATAAAACTGGACAAATAAGTTGAGACAAACTAAATGTAGGTTAAGAGGAGGAACTTCATTCAGAAGTAGAAGGGATACTTGCTAATGTGCCAGACACTGTGCTGTTTAAAGTGTAGTATCTAAAAATTACTCTCTCTTTTAATTAGATCTTTATAAGGTTGAAATAAATGAAATTGCCATCCTTGTAGGTAACAAATAATAGGTTCAAACTAATAAATATTTGGAAATAGGCATAAAAAACTGATAATTTGCCCAACGTTACATTATAAGTGGTTGAGATGGGACTGGAAGATAGTTCTTCTGGACTCTTAACCTATTAAGTTATATATTTAAGTTTTACAAAAACTAATTTGCCATCAGTAGGTAAGGTAGACTGGATTATTGATAAACAATAGATTGGATTTCGCATTAGAGGGAAGACTTCTTTACCGTATTTAAAGGTAGAAATTAAGTAAAATACTTAGTCTTCCTTCAGTTTGTATTGCTTACTCTTTGTATGCCTGCTTAAGAAATATTCATGTAGTATAGTGATTGTATTCCTGCTTCTTCCAGCAATTTGGTGCCTTCCAAATTTATTTTATTTCTTTTGGAATTACTTGTCTGAAGTTCTGTCAGAAATCTGACTTTGAGATTGTGAAATGCGAGGTCTACTTGTTGAATACTTTTTAAAAAATATGTTATATGTTTCTATCTGAGAATCAAGACTTGTCACTATTTTGTCTGAGCTATATTGGTAGAATCATCCATTTTGTGATTTTGCTGTAGTTCTCTTTTGATATGTTGTTACCTGTAAAGACTGCTGAATGCCGTTTTTCAAAACTTTAGACTTGACCTGAGTTGATAGCAAAATTAGATTTAAATTATATTGTCTAATAATAAGTTTTCAGGTCAGACTTTTTTTTCTTCCAAAGGTTAGAATAGTGCAAAATGTGGTAGGAATTTAGTGGAAGTAAGAGTGAACTGCAGAGAGAATTAAATGTGTATCTATAAATCTTCTAAGAACAGTTTTAATTGGTAAAGATACTACCCTTCATTCGCTGTGGACTCTGCTGTTCTTTAACTCAGAGATAAAGTAAAATCTTTAATTACAGAAGCAGTAATATACAGTATATCTTTATGAATATTTGGAGTCAGGTACATCTGACTTTGGAAAATCAAGTCGTTTCCTGTAACATTTACAAATCAAAATGGCAAATATCCATTTATCTATGGACTTGTGGGTAGCTACCAGGAACTTTTTGTCATTAATCATTCTGGAGCTGAGGAAATAGACTTAATGTTCAGGTTTCTAAAACTATCCTTTTTATTTCTTTAATGCCATCTTGGTTGTTAGCATAAAAATTAGGAAATGGAGTAAACAGGGAATTTAGATGTATGAAGAATTCATATTTGAGAAATATATCTGAGTGGCAGCCTTCTTAAACCTACTCCTTGGGTAACCTGGATAATGAATTATTCTTGAAAGGGAAGCTGGTCAGGGGAGACAAGGGCAGCCAGGACCATTGTTAATCCATCTGCCACAGTCGGTGGGTCACTAGAACTGACAAACTTGGGGAAACTTTGGGAAACTACACAGTGTGCAGAATTATCCCACCCAGGGGAACAGAAGTGCTGGGCATGTGAACGTCAATTTCTGTTTCCTTGGTTGAGGGCTGCTCCTGGGGATGTTAATTTCCTGGCACTTCTAGCCTGCTTCTCTGGATATATCAGAGAAGTTCCTGGGCACAAAAATGCAGATATCTGCAATTGGAAGTTGCCTAGAGCACACTGAAAAATCTGAAGGGTATAGTGGGGTACTGATACCATCTGCCTCAGAAAATGACATTCTTGGAAGTACAGTTTTAAATTATATTGAACCTGTGTTGCTTGGAGATGAACAGTTGATAATGGGCTTTTCTTATAATTGAAGGGCTGTTAGTCTATAGAAGCAAGTAGGTTTATTGACTTATTCTGTGTAGCAGATAAGGTGGAACTAAAATCAGTGCATGGAAGTGACAGGATATCATTGAATAATTTGTAATTCCCATAGAGTTGTCCCTTTTGTTGAAGCACTATTAAAAGCCCGAATGGTGTTGCTAAGAGGGATGTTCATTGGCTTTGTCAGGGAAAGTTGAACTCCAGCATTTAACACTCTCTGTGGTAAGGGTTTACCTTGGGCCAAGATTTTGTTTTTGTTTTGATATACTTGTATTTAGACTCCATTTGATTATTTGAGTATCTACTATTCTGTAGTTGATTTGTTGAGTACAGTGACCGTATATATGTCTTGGTTTGCTTGGGAGAATCCTGATTCATGTCTCTTCTTCTGGCTTTATTTATTTGTGTGTTGGGACAGAGTCTCACTCTCTCGCCAAGCTAGATTGCAGTGGTGTGATCTTGGCCCACTACAACATCTGCCTCCTGGGTTCAAGCAATTCTCCTGCCTCAGCCTGCCGAGTAGCTAGGACTACAGGCACCCGCTACCACCCCAACTAATTTTTATATTTTTGGCAGAGATTGGGTTTCACCACGTGAGCCAGGATGGTCTTGATCTCTTGACCTCATAATCTACCTGCCTCAGCCTCCCAAAGTGCTGAGATGACAGGTGTGAGCCACTGCACTCAGCCCTGGCCTGATTAATAATAATACCCACAGTTTCTCTCAGGTGTTCAGTTTTGGACGATGGTGAATAGTAAGATCACCTTATTAATTTTAGTTTGATGTGATTTACAAGAACATCTTTTTCTCTTTTAAAACAAGGTCATCAGAAGTACTTTGTTTGACTCTGAGGATCAACCATTTTTCAAAATAATCATGTCCAAAATTATATACTCAACCTTTTAATTTCTGTAAATTTTTAATGCAGTGTACATAAACAGCCATTTTTCCTGCTTGTGGACTTTATTTCATAATTATTTTCCTATATTCTTTTAAACAGAAGGCAGACGGTAACAAGTACTCCTTGCTGGATTGAACTTCATCTGAATGGACCTCTGCAGTGGTTGGACAAAGTATTAACTCAGATGGGATCCCCTTCAGTGCGTTGCTCAAGCATGTCATAAAGCTTCATCACCAATCAATTTCCATCAAAAGACTTAATGTAACAACTCTTCTGTCATAGTATTGTGTGTGGTCTCCATGGACTGTTTACTGTCCAAAAGTTCAAGAGAGAAAACAGCACTTGAGGTCTCATCAATTAAAGCACCTTGTGGAATCTGTTTCCTATATTTGAATATTAGATGGGAAAATTAGTGTCTAGAAATACTCTCCCATAAAAGAGGAAGAGAAGATTTTAAAGACTTAATGATGTCTTATTGGGCATAAAACTGAGTGTCCCAAAGGTTTATTAATAACAGTAGTAGTTATGTGTACAGGTAATGTATCATGATCCAGTATCACAGTATTGTGCTGTTTATATACATTTTTAGTTTGCATAGATGAGGTGTGTGTGTGCGCTGCTTCTTGATCTAGGCAAACCTTTATAAAGTTACAGTACCTAATCTGTTATTCCCACTTCTCTGTTATTTTTGTGTGTCTTTTTTAATATATAATATATATCAAGATTTTCAAATTATTTAGATGCAGATTTTCCTTGTAGAAAAACTAATTTTTCTGCCTTTTACCAAAAATAAACTCTTGGGGGAAGAAAAGTGGATTAACTTTTGAAATCCTTATCCTTAATGTGTTCAGTGGGGCTTAAACAGTCATTCTTTTTTTGTGTGTGTGTTTGTGTGTTTTTTTTTAACTGCTAAATCTTATTATAAGGAAACCATACTGAAAATCTTTCCAAGCCTCTTTTCTCCATTCCCATTTTTGTCCTGATAATCAAAATAGCATAGCATGACATCTTCACCAGTAATAGTTGCACTGATACTGCTGGCACCAGTTAATTCTGGGGTACAGTAAGAATTCATATGGAGAAAGTTCCTTTGACACCCAATTTTCGACAGGAATAATTGGCTTGTATAACCTGGCAGTCTGTTGATTTAACTTTCCACCTACAAAAAAATACATAGGTGGCAGTATAATTATTTTCAGGGATATGCTAGAATTACTTCCACGTATTTTTCCCTTTTTAAAAAGCTAATCTATAAATACCCTTTTTTCAAAAGGTATTTTAAAATATTTCAACCGCAGACCTTCTGGTCTTCTAGTAGTTTCATTTGATTTAGTTACCAGATTGTATTATGAAATGAACCTTTTGTAGATGTAATTGTTTCTGCAAAATACCTAGAAAAGTGATGCTGAGGTACGATCAGCAGATATGGGCCATCTGTTTTTAAAGTATGTTGTATTCAATTTGTAAATTGATTGTTACTCTACATGTAATTATGAATTCAGAATTTTAAAAACTGGGGGGAAAAGCCATTTCTTTAGCAAGTTCTTTAGCTTTTAAGTTACCTGCAGTCTGAGCTGTTCTTAACTGATCCTCAGTTTGTGGTTGACCATATTTCATACTCTGTAGTGAGAGGAGATTTCCGAAACTCTGTTGGTAGTTCATTCTGCAGCAAATAATTATTATGTCTAATGTTGACTCATTGCAGTTTAAACATTTCTTCTTGTTTGCATCTTAGTAGAAATGGAAAATAACCACTCCTGGTCATCTTTTCATAAATTTTCATATTTTTGAAGCTATCTTTGGTACTTGTTCTTTGAAATCATACTCAACCTGTCTCTACAGGTATCATTTTCGATACTTTCAACATTTGGTGGTTTTCTATTGGATACTCGCCATTTTCCTGTATTTGTGTGTATATGTATGTGTTCATGTAAATTTGGTATAGTAATTTTTTATTCGTTCAACAGATATTTATTGTTCGCATGTTTGTACCAGGAACTTTCTTAGTCTTTGGGTAAAGGTGAACAAGACAGCTACAGTTCCTGCCTTTGCTGAGACAGCAATTACACTAATCCTTAATCATCTTGTCTTTGAAGGAGATAAACAGGGTACTGTACTGGAGAATAACAGATGGATGCTTCAGGTAGGACATCAAGGAAAGCCTCTCAGGAAATGATGCATGAGCTAATACCTGACATTGAAGAAGCAAGCCAAGTGATGAGCCAGGGAAGATAAGCATTCCTGGCAAAGAGAATAGCATCAAATGCAAAAAGGCTCACACTAAAGGAAACTCATGATTAGATATTAATGCTTTATACAGAAAACTCTCTACAAATCCAAACTTGAAGATCAGAATGGTTCTACAGTTTATAATATTTTGAAGGTAGCCTTATTTTGTGATAGTCTGCTTCATGTTATTCTCACTAATATATCTTCTTCCTCAACCTTTTGCTGTAAAAATTTCATTTGCACCACATCAGTACTACTTAACAAGAGCTGCTTGCTTCCAGACTTCGTGCTGCCCAGTAATTATGTCTTCTACTACCCATCTTGTGAGCAGAGTAAATGTCCTAGGTATTACCACTGTCAGGCCTGTGGGAGATACTCAGTGGAGCCTCTGCCCTTCTTTTACTTAAGTGAGAATTTGTAATGGTGTTAGGCAACAGTTCTAGGGGCAGAAAACAACTCTGAAAGTGGTAGAAGGTCCTGGTCTTGGTGGTTACTCTTACATTACTGTGGTGAGTGAAGCAGTGCCTACTGTGCTGTTTCAGTAGTGGAGCACATCTCTACAGTTCTGCTGCGATTTTTCTGAACAGTAGGAAATTGGGACTCAACTCTTTGAAAACACCTATATTGAGCAGTTATACCTGTTGAGCAGTTTACTTCATGGTCATAATTACATTTGTGTGAACATGATACTTTTTAATGAGATGACTTTTTTGCATTTTATCTACTGTGGCCTAATTTTTATTGATTTCTCCCCCCCCATTTATAGGTGTGTTTTTCATTTTTGTAAGTGATAGAATGCCCTATTTGTTGAATTTTATCTTTATTTAAATTAGCAACATTATTTAGGATTTATTCTCCACAATACTGATAATTTTCTAGGTTTGATGACCTGAGAATTGAATGCCCATGCTTTCTATCATATTTCTAAGATGAGTAGTAGTTTTTCCAGTAGGTTTTACAGAGACACCTTGAGTGCTGGCTAGGGGAGGCTTTTGGGGTTCCCACTGATGTTGGTACAACCAGTGGCACTTTTATTCTGTATTGAAATATACTGCATGAGATTTCTTTTGGAAAGAGTTTCATTGCTTTAAAAAGAAACTCAAAGTCTTTATAACCACTGGTTGAGATTAGAAAATATAACTGGAATTAGGCCTACCTTCTGGAATACCATCGATTGTGCTCTTTTCATCCTACTTTAAAGAAGCCTTCCTGATTAGATTTAAGCTCTGCCAATTATACGATTATACCTTATGATATACATTCAGCCAGTAAACATTTATTGATGCCTGTTGTTTGCCAGCCACTGTGATAGATACTGAATAATAAAAAGATGACTAGAATGGGGCCCTGACCCTTGAGCTGTGCTTGGTCTTGTAGAGGTTATGTTTTTTTTCCTGGGGACCTGTCACTTTGCCAGAAGGAAATCTAATTTTCTTGAAAACGAGATTTTCTTTGTATGGTTTTACAAATTGTTTAATATCTATTTGTATTTTTTTTTACCTTAAACCACATTCAGTTTTGCTTGATTCGTCTGTCTTTTGAACACTATCATGATTTTTTTGTTAAAATTATTTTAATTTCACTTTATTTGTGCCTTTGTCAGTTTAAGACTAAGACTTAGATGGTAAAACAAACAAACATCAGTCTTAGACTCTTGCTAGTTGAAATCAAATAAAAGAGAATATATACCCAGTTGGTTTCTCTACCTCTTCCAAAAGCTTCCCATACATACCTTTAAGATCCTCTTTTTTCTTTTTTAACTACTAAAAACTTCAGCATTTATTCAGTATTAAATACCGTGTTGGTCTGAGGGTGGGGTAGGTTTATGGTGGGATATAAACTAACACAAGACAATCTTCGCTGTACTTAAAATATGTCTTCATGTAGTCTTTCCTTTAAAAGCTGAACATTCCAGTTTCCTAATTTGCCCCCCTCCATTCCAAGACCCTGTCCACCAAGTATCTCTTTAGATACCTAGTCTGTGAACCTGAACAATGAATGACTTTTTTTTCTTACCGATCTAAGGCATTGATACTTGGACATATCAAACATTTTCTTCCTTTTATATACTTTACTTTGCTAAATCTATTATTTTCATTATCTGAATTTTATTCTTCCTCCCCTCCTGACAATACATATCCAGGTGGTACTTGCTGGTTACCCTCTTTCTTGTTAGCCATGTTTTTATCTGCATATATCAAAGTGTTTCCTTTGAAATTACTAACAAAGGAACGTGCTTTTCATACCTAGAGTCCTAATTTCTTCATTATGAAGGTTGCTATTCAAATTGATCAGTCACTTTAATTTTACAAATGGCTCAAAAATTCTGTTTAGTAAATGTCTTCGTGACAGGCAAATGGCATAAATTTAAGATTACGAACTTTTCTGACACTTCTAGCCAATCTTTTCCCTACGATGCCAGATTTCCATCTTGGGGCATATTGGATTGTTGAATTTAGGACAATGGGGAGTAATGATACTGTGTGGTCTCCAGAGGTAGTCAGAATCCTGCTACTGAGTTCTTTTTATATCTTCCTTTTCAGATTTTTATTACTATTTTGTTTGTTTAGACTACACTTTGTATGTGGGGATTGAGGGGAAATTATCTCTTTGAGTGAAATTCCTGTGTTTTGAGCCTTACAACCAGGAAATATGAGCTATACTAGATAGCCTCATGATAGCATTTGTAATAAGAACTTTCTCGTGCGTTTATGTAATTTTTTGAGTAGGAACTGTTTTATCTTGGATATTATAGCTAACTATATATAGCAGAACTGCCTCAATCTTTTTAGTAGGAAATAATGTGTGTGTATGAATTTATATGTGCATATACACTCAGAAAAACTAACAGTTGGGGTTATTCTAACAGTGTTAAAACAGTTGTTCCATTGTTTAAATCTCAGATCGCAGTAAAATGTTCTTAATTTGTCTGTATACATTTTTCTTTAATGGACAGACCATCAGAGTACATTAATTTTCTTAATCTGCTATTTGGCAGTTCAATTATTATACCATTTTTTGGCAACTTGGTAATTAAGACAGCTAAAATTTATTAACATCAAAGAATGCTCTGTCATAAACCCCTTTACTAAACTATTCTACATTCAGCAGACTCTGGGATGTACTAACTTAGAGTTAATTTTGTTGTTGATAATATTAGATTGCTCCCTCTTTAATTCTCCCCTGGTGTACGGTTGCTGCTTAAGTTACCCTGGGAAGTACTACTTACAAAGTCAGATTTTCCTGTATCTGACAGCCTGATGGAAGGTGGTTCGGCTCTGACTTTATCTTTGCTAAACATAAATGGATTTTCCAAGATTCTCTGGGACATCCTTGACCCACAGGTGATCTCACTGGAATGTATTCACTTTAATGCCAGTTGGTTCGGTGCCATGAGATCCATAATGGACCCAGAATTTCACCATTGCTTAGATGTATGAGTCTCTTGGAAGAATAATGCCACTGATGATAGGGATCAGAAAGGTATATTAACTCAATATACAGGCTTTTAGATGTTCAAAAAATTTCAAGAAAAATATCATTCGTTTACCCTCCAAAAAAGTAAGAGCTCTTAGTTTCTCCAAAATATGCTCTTTGATTTACTTCTTATTTTTAATTAAAGATGGTAATTTATTGAACAATGAAATCCATAATATATTGATTTAAGGACAAAAGTGAAGTTTTAGAATTTTAAAAATACTTAAATATTATATATTTCCCATTTCGTAATTGTTCTATTTACTCTGTAGCTTTCAAGTTTGTAACTATTTTATAATGTTAGTAGGTAACTTGCCATATTTCTGGTTCTATATTAAGTTTTACCCTTTATAATGCTGTTATTATAAAGTTGGTTTTCAGCATTTGTCTGTAGCAATAGAATTTTACTAAGTCTGTTCTTCCAGTAAGGTTGTTCTTTTCTAAGTTCCTAAACAAATATTTGTTTGCCACTCTTACTATTACCAATCTTGGATTGTTCAAGCTGAAAAAAAAAATTGTGGTGAGAAACAATAGGGTCCTTTTCTGGTGAATATAGGTTCCTGCTTTAAGACTGGAAATCTGTTGCTTTATACAACTAATATACACACAGATTAATTAAAATTGTGAGAAATACTTAACACATAACAGGTAACATGTCTGAGTTTTGAATTTTTTTTTTTAAAACTCAGCTTTTTGACAAAATGCACAACCCAAATTGGTACTTTCTTAGACCAGTTTTACCTCATGCCTCGTTCTTGCTTTTCCAACCCTGATTTTAAAGGCATACTTGTATCTTTTTATTAGTAATAGTGAAGATGTGACACTAACCATTTTATACAAAAGAGTAAAGAAAGGAAAACTACAGAGATTAAGATGAAAACAGTTCTACAGTTGTTGAATTAGATCACAGTATGGTGGGCAGAATAAAAATGTTCATATCTGAGATTATTCCTTTTGCCACCTTTTCCCAAGGCCAGACCTCCTGGTGGAGAGCATTTAAAAGTAACATTGTGGGCCTTTCTTATCAGAGGGCTGTCTCTCCAGCTGGCAGTTTTTGTTTTTGTTTTTGAGAAGAAGTTCTACTCTTGTTGCCCAGACTGGAGTACAGTGGTGTGATCTTGGCTCACTGCAACGTCCACCTTCCCAGTTCAAGCAGTTCTCTTGTCTCAGTCTTCTGAGTAGTTGGGATTATAGGCATGCGTCACCACACCTGGCTTATTTTGCATTTTTTTTTTTTTTAGTAGAGACAGGGTTTCACCATGTTGGTCAGGCTGGTCTCGAACTCCTGACCTCAGGTGATCGGTCTGCCTTGGCCTCCCAAAGTACTGGGATTACAGGCGTGAGCTTTTATACACTACTCACTAATTTGCTTGATTGCTACCAACTGTTTTTAATGTTAACACCTTTAAATAAGGTTGTTCTGGACTTCCTGGCCTTTTAGCAAGCTTGGAGGAACTAGCCATTAGCTAGTGACATAAAAGTATTTTGGGATCCCTTAAAGGTAGCTTTATGCTTTTGAAAATTCTTACCTTTTCTCTAGTGATAATAAGGAAGGAGTGAGTAGTGTTCTCAGGGTGACCAGTTGCCCTAGTGTTACCTGGGACTGAGGGTTTCCCTGGATGTGGGACTTTTCATTGCTAAACCCAAGCAAGTCCCAGGTACACCAGAAGGAGCTGACCACCTTAGGTGTTCTTGTGATTTACCCTCACTTCCTTATGTTGTCATAGTTGCTTCTCAACTCAGCTGCACCATGGCTGTCAACATTACTGATACTTACTGGGATATGTGTCCTCTAGTCTCTGACTACTGTGAATAGAACATGAGGTTTATAACACAAGTAGCTGAAGGTACCAGCATGGTGGTGAGACTCACACTTAGTAGTGATCCAGCAAAGATAAATGATGTTTTAATGGAACACAAGGGGCCAACTACATAGCTAAGTTCTTTTGAACCTATGTGTATATGTAAGTACAAATAATGTGTCCTTACAGGGTTAAACTTCATCTGATATTTAGATTTTTCATAGTAAAAGGAAACCAATTGTGGTTGTGGATTTCTTTTGTGAGGAAATACATGGCCTTTGATGCTATGGCCTCTTCTGCATTTCCCAGTCTGTCCTGCTCAAGAAGCTACAATGTGTTACTACATTTCTCAGTGAATGTTGTGTTGAAATGACTAAATGCATCAGCCAATGGCAAGTGAAGGAATTGGGTGTCCTGATGCATACTGAGTAGTTGCATTCAATTCTTAATAGCCTCCTACTTATATGGTGCTTACCAGCTAGAACACTGAGCACATAAGGTGAGATTTTTTTTTTCTCTCATGGGATTAACTTTGTAATGCAATATGATGGATGCAGACCCTGTTGTTTCTCTCTGGTAGTCCTCAGTGGCTGCATCCTTGGTGCACTGTGATGGAGATATTAAATGTGCTCTTTGTAAGCTTTCATTCTATGACTGTCAAAAATATGATGTGGTTCCTTTTTTATTTTTATTAAACAATGAGCTGAGGCTGTATTACAGCTGGTTCAGTTAAAATGGTTGAATACTGATGTCTTTTCCCCACCTACACCAAATACTTTATTTAAAGTACAAAAAAAAGTTCTGCTTAAGAAAACATTGCTTACATGTCCTGTGATTTCTGGTCAATTTTTATATCTATTTGTGTGCATCATCTGTATGTGCTTTCACTTTTTACGTTGTTTGATCTTACCTATGTTAACAGCACTGTCACTGTTGAAAGGTGGTCAGTTTTCCTAGAATTAAAAGAAAGCCATTTGAGTTGTTTACCATGTTATTTATGGGACTAATTTTTGTTTTTTATTTTTTTTAGATGAGATTACATTTTGCTGTTCACTCCCTAAATTTTGTGGAAACCAAAAAAAGTGATTATATTTCACATATGGAGATATGATTTTAAGAGTTCATGTTTTTGTTTTTAATTTGGTGTTACATAAAAAATTATCCTATTCTCCTGGCAGGTAAATCTATACTATTTAGTATAGCCCCACAACAGGTACACACCACACACTGCAGTGATAGTTAGACATTTTGATTTATTTCAGAGTTTGCCTATGCCACATTAGCACTCAAATGTGTAAGATCTATGCCATAAACAAAATTGAAAGTTGAAGTTTGCTACAATATACTTTTAGCAAAATAAAAATTTTAAGGCTCCATTGAAAAATACTAGATAAGATATAATCTCATATAATCATGAAATAATTTTTAAAATGAGAAACATTTAGATCAGCCACACTTCCTTTGTGCCTGGCAAGAATTCACTTCTGTGGATGAATCAGTATTTTTCTGGTTAGCAGACTGTTTTCTGCAAACCATTTTAAACATGCATCGGTATGCAACAAAAAGTGACCTCAAATGCTACAGTACAGTATCCTGCTTGGCATTGAATAGCCCTGAGACTAGTGCAGTTTTATCAACACTTTATTAGGAGGAAAGCCAAGAAGATTTACTGTAATTGCTACCACTTGCCACTGTGTAAATCTAAAAGGAGCCTCCCAACATTGAACAACATTGAGGGATAACTAGAGGAGATCTTTCTACATTGTCACCTCACCCTGGCATTGCCTTTCACTGCTTAGCTTGAAGTAGTGACACTGGTCTATATCAGGAGATTTTTATAATGGCCCTAGCATCCATAATTCCACATGTTCATCAAGAGGCTGGAGAGAGAGAAGTATTAAAGTCTGTGTTTGAGCTGTTTCCCCACTTGGCTTATTCTTTTTTTTTTCCTTCTCTTCAAAATGGATTGAAAGGCTCTTAGTGCTTAAAGCAGATGTATCAGTATCAAACTGGTGCCATCCAGTGCAGTTATTTTAAGCTCCAGGTTTGTCTAAGTTTGGGTGAAGAATGTGTTAGTTTGCTACTCAAGAACATGTTTGCAACATAGAGCTATCCAGCCTCTTTTTTGACAGACTCATCCGTTTCGTCGAAATACACAGTAAGCCCAACCTAAAAATTAAAGTTTATAAATATAAGAATAGAAAAACCCAGAAAGCTAATTTACACATGAAGATTATCTTCTGCTGCAATAAATAGGTATGGAAATATTTGTAGAATTGGTTTAACTGATTATGTAAAACAAATGTCATGCTATTTTGCCATAGTGAGACATGCAGCAATTCTTAAAATCACATTAGTAGATGGTAAGAACATTGAGTTAGACTTAGCAGATAACAAGTTCAGTGAACAATACTAAGCATGCTCTTTAGGAAGCTACATGGGAACAGAATATGTTACTGTGCTCCAGTCCAAGCTGCATGACTTTATTGGTTATAGGATAAATGGAATTTGAGATGGGGATTTGCCAGTTTTTACAGTCTGCAATAGTTTTGTTGGCTGCCTCTGCACCTTTCTGAATTTTATGTGAAAATACAATTAACTTTTAAAGTAGTTTAGGAAAGAGGGGTGATGACAGAGGAAAGAGAAGTTAACTTCTGAACACTTTGGTCCAGGAAGATGGGCACAATGCAGTTTAAGCCCAGGGTTGAAGAATACATTGAATTTGGAGAGATAGGACTTTTGAAGCAGGTCTAAATGAGACACTGAAACAGAACTCTTACCTGTATGTCTGGATATGCATGAAAACTGAACAGTATTACTGAGTTACATATATGGTGAGCACAAAATTGATAATCGCAAGCTGGGTAGGTTCTGCTATGAAGCTCACATCTAATCACAAGGCCTAGATAGCTTGGAGTTAAAAGCCAAGGATAGCTGTATAGTTTGGGTTCCATAGTTTACAGTGAGATTGTGCTACTGAGTAGTCATTTTTGGGGACAGTCGTTCTGAGAATACAAGCCATAACCTAGCCAAGAATGCAACGTGGAATGAGGATGAGGAAGTTAGACACACTAGTGTGTTCCCTCTCTTCCCCCGACTCCCCTCTCCCCTCTCCCTTCTCCCCCTCCTTTCTCTCCTCCTTTCCCTCCCTTACCCTCCCTCTTTTCTTCTCCCTCTCCCTCTCTCCTCTCTATCTCTCTCTCTCTCTCTGAAACATTTTTTTTTGCTCACAGCCAAATATTTGTCTAGAGAAACTGTTGGAATTTTAACAAGAGTTTTGTATGTATGTGGATTTTTTGATAAGTAGCAAATCAGAGGCCTTAACCACTGCCCAACAGCAGTTCTCCATTGAGACGACATATCTTAAGCAGAAATTCATTTGCTCTGATTTTAAATCTTATAAAGTTTTTCTTCATTAGAGGTCTTATCTTTAAACTATATTGTGGAGGTATTTGATCAAACTAAGATATAAGTACCATTTTAATACAAAGGATGACTCACTTTTACATAGTTTGCCATTTAAAAGTGTGCTTCAGTGGGAAAAATTATTATTTTTTTTTTTTGAGAGGGATTCTTCCTCTGTCACCCAGGCTGAAGTGCAGTTGCATGATCTTAGCTCACTGTAACCTCCACCTCCTGGGTTCAAGCGATTCTCCTACCTCAGCCTCCTGAGTAGCTGGGATTACAGGTGCACACCACTATACTGGGTTACTTGTATTTTTAGTAGAGATGGGGTTTCACATCGTTTGCTAGGCTGGTCTTGAACTCCTGACCTCAGGTGGTTTGCCTGCCTCATCCTCCCAAAGTGTTGGAATTACAGGCATAAATCATCACACCTGGCCGAAAAATGAAAATTTAAATAAGCCTAGCTTACCACCTGGAATAAAAATGTTTTATAGGAATGTCTACATTGCTCTTTTATATTGAAAAAAGCATTTTTGTATCTGTTTTACCCAAGAACTACAAGCTACTTCATTTCAACTTTTAAATCATGAATAATAGCATGTGTTATCGCTACATTTAAAAATGAACATAGTTAATCAAAAACATCTTATAAAGAATTGAATTTTGTAGAGATAATTGAATGCTTTCATCTGTAAAAGAATTAGTGGCCTGAAAACCACTGTGGTTTCTTGCTTTGCTTTGAAGTTGTCAGTGGAGGAATTTGTGGCTGCCAGTTACATGCACTTGTAGGTAAAGGAAAATTCATATTTTTAATTCTAAAATGAAAACCACTGACCAACTTTTAAACACAAAGTTTAGTTATTAGCTTAGGCATTATTTTCCTGTTCTTTATCATTTCAGGATTCAGGTTCTTAAATTTAACATAAAAATTTATAAAACACAAAAATCAAGCTACATTTGGTAAGCCAAATTTTAGGATTCAAAGTCTCTTAACAGTCTCTATGTGACATGTCATATGGGGCAATTTTTATTTGCCAAAATGTCTACTTCATACTACCTGGGTGCTGCTTCCCCTTTTTATCTCTCTGCTCCTAATCCCCTATAATTAAACCCCTATAAAACTGCCTTCTTTTGAATACCTAATTGATTTTTTAAAATATTTTTTCAGAATCAAAATTAGAAAAGGGAGAACTACCTAAGAATCTGACTTGTTGATATTCTTTAAAAGATCACATTTATTTGAAGGTGGGTGCATATTTTTTATATCCACTCTTTCCCAATTTGTATATGACCATTGTAAAATTGGATGTGCTTTTTTTGTCACCAGTATTGCCACCAAGTAATCATCTCTTAATTTATAATTTACATAGCGATTGACTAAAGAGGGGTATTGAACATAAATTTATTTTTAAGATTAAACTGAGAAATGGAGGATTTACATGATTTTAGTCTCTAGTTGGTGTTTCTTGACTGGGAATAGCAGTATCTTAAAGGCCATTTTTAACAAGACTGCTAAGGATGGAATGCTTGAAGGAAACAGTCCTATACAGTCAAATACTTCAGTTATCTTGGATAATAGAATGAAAACTCAGTTGCCTACTTTGAACAAAATTTTTTGGATTTTAATGGCTGGACAGAATAACATTCTGCTAATTTTAAACCTTGGTTATTTCCGACGTAATGGAAAATGCAGTTTGACTCAGAGTCAGAGGTCTGGAGTTTGGGCCCTGATTGTGCCAATGTATGTGACTTGAGATAAATCTTTTCATCAGTGTGCTTTAAAGTTCCTCTTTTCCTCCAGTTCCCCAAAAATGAAGTTAAGTTTCAGGGTGGTTATGAGAATTAAATGAGAACACTTGAGAGAGCATTCAGCCCAAAGTGGGTACTCAGTATTACATGGCTGAATCTGCACAGTCTACAGAATACAAGGCAAAGGTTACTCTGAAGGTCTTTGCCAATAATGAATCTTTCTCTAAGAAAGTTTGCAAATGAGATGTCAAACTCAGAAATGTCACATAAAATGTATTGGAGCAATTATTGCCACAAAAGTAACTCAGCAACCACAAAAACCCAGTGGTATGCAGCAATAAACAGTTTATGAATTGATAAGTGATTTTGGCTAGGTGTCTCTGGGGCAGTTACAGTCTTTCCTCGTTAATGAGGGAGTTGGCCTCAAGTAGAAGGACTTGGCGTTTTTCCACATGCCTCCTATCCTCCATTAAATAAGCATGTTTTTGTGGAGGTTGTAGAAGGCAATAACAACCAAGCCCAATCCCATAACTCCCTTTCAAGTCTGCATGCCTCTTGCTAACCAGCATTCACCAGGAGCAAGCCACATGGCTAAACCCAGTGTGGAAAGGTACTACAGAGTTTTTAGACCAAGGGAGAGAACACAGGAGGGGCAAAGAATTGGAGCCTTAAGGGCAGTGCAGTCTACTACACTCTTGCTTTGTATTTCACGGGTTACTGTACTGGTTTGCCAGCAAATAGAAATGTGGAGAAGCTAAAGATTGCTCAAGCTGGGTCTTAATAGAGTGGTCTCTTTGGTTCAAAGTGTTTTAACTCATGGAGCATCAAGT